CTCAGTCCAGATATGGTCACTTCCTGTTCACTGGTTGATAAAAACCAAGATGGCGACGACCAAAAACGTGGCTCTTTACAGCTCGTCTCGTTCACAGTGCTCTGTGGGTGTGACTGTTATCGCCGTTCATATCTATACAACCACTGAGTTTATGATTATATTGTTTACTAGAGCACAAAGTTCCTCTCAAAGTGCAACAGTTTAACTTGACCTGATTATATTTATGTTTTAAGAGAAATTAAAGATTGTATGCGTCCAATGTTTTTTTATTGTTGTTTCCTGTGATATCAGAAATATTATATTTAATATGAATATTGATAGTTTTCAGTAACAATTAAATCCTAATGATACTCTTTCTAATTAGAAGTATTTATCATGAAAAAAAATGTGCTCTTATTCTGTAATAAAGGCAACATGAGTCAAAATCTCATTTATGTAAAATGTACTTTGATTTATTCCCTCAAGTTATTAAAGTTTATTTCAAGTGTCTGTAATTTATACAGTTATCTTAGAGCTCAGTCACAAATGTCAAGTGCTTTGAATTTATTTCATTCCATAAAATTATGAAATTTGTCGCATCAGACGACAAAACAATCGACGGAACAAACATTTAGCACCAGAGGATGAATCATTATTCATTCATAAGAAAAGACTTTAAACTGTCAAATTAAACCAAAGTATTAGAAACTAAACAGAACATTTGATTCAGCAGACCCTGAACCAGTCTTGTTGTAGTTCTAGACCTCTTGTATTCCTAACCACCAGGTGTGATTGTCACCTGATGAGCCTGTTCCAGTGTTAAAGGAGTAATCCGGAGTATATTTTCTCCAGATGTGGAGAAGTTCCTCAGCGTGAGTGAGTCCAGCCAGAAGCTGCAGAAACGTGGACTGACGGCTCGTCCACTGGAGGCAGCAGAGAGCGTCCGAGTGGAGAGTCTTCCTCCGAACGTGGTCAAAGGTACACAAACTGTCAGATCTCTGTTTTCTCTTCCGCAGCGTTGAAGCTATTGTGGTCACGTCTTCTGTATTTCTGACTTCAGACATGCTGGAGCTGTATTTTGAGGACTGGGCTCTGCCGGAAAACATCGTCATGATCCCGAATGAACAGGCTGCCGTTGCATCTTTCAAAAACCCCAAAGGTCTTTTCATTTAGCTTTAATACTCACGTTTTACCTTCTATTACTACATAAACTGTGTTCCAACTTTAAAAACATGTTCGTGCACCAATGATTCCACATCCACAGGCATTAATATGCTAGAACATTCTCCCAGTGCTCCCAATCAACTGTTGTTCATTCTAGCATTTTCCGAAACGTACAAACAAAATACTCCCTGAAGAAGCAAGAATAGTGATAAGTGAGACAAAGATATCTAAAATTCCCTCTTTGATTTTGAAATCTTTGACTCTAATATGTCAAAAAAATTCAGATTTGAGACCAAAACCAAATGTAAGAACAAGGTTGTCCACATACTTTCGTCCATGCAGTCTGTGAAACAAATTATTTAAATGCATTCTAGCTACAAATAGAACCACTCACCTGAACTTTCCTTTTTTTATCCCCTGTATTGTTGCAGTCGTGAAAAGCATTTGCACAAAACAAGACTATGTGATGCGGTCCATCCCTGTCAAGGTGTATCCGTTCTACGAGTCCCTGGGCACGGCGCTGTACGGCAAAGAACGCCCAATATGGAAGATGCCCGATCCCTTCAGCGAGAGCGTTCACCACGTCGTCTGGAAATTCCTCCTGATGAAGAAACTGTTGAAGAGCATCAACGATCAGATGCGTCCGTACTTCTGCAGCGTCGACTTGGAAAACCCCGAGGTGAAACTCAGCCCTCTCCCGGGGTTTCTGAGACAGAAAGGTCTGACCGCCCAACACGTAGACAAGTGGATGAGCACCACCAGAGAGGCCTTCCGTCGCCAAATGTCCGAGTACAGCGCCTTCGAATGTACGGCGAACTCACCTGCGTGGAAAGCCGCAGAGAAAGACGTCCGTTCAGCCGTCAGGGAAGACGCCGTCCTGGTGCTGGACGCATCCAAGGGAATTTTGACCGTCGCTGGCCGAGCTGACGATCTAAAACGAATCAGAGCTCCTGTGGAGAACCTCGTTCTTAAAGCCATGGATCAGATAAAACGTCAGGCAGAAGGTTTCTCTGATGTGATGGTTATGTCTCCTGCGATGTTCTACATCCTGAACCACGAGGGCTTCCAGAAAGCTGCCCGGGACATTTCCCCCGACATGAAACTCTCCTTCGATGAAGGCAACCAGAAGTTGACCATTACAGGGCTCCCCGCAGAGGTTTACCAGACTAAAGCGTGGATCTTGGAGAGGAACGTGGGTATGAGTAAAAAGCACTTGAATATCCCCCCAGCTCTTCTGGACTTCCTAAAGACGGTGGATCCCATGGACATGTCGCAGCACCTGTTCACATCCAAAGGCATCGGTGCCATCTACACCATTGAGAGCAAAGGGTTACATCTGTCGGGGAGTTCTGAGAGCGTCCTCGCTGCCGCAGAGAGTAAGATGAAGACCGATCTGGCCCACCAGATTCTGGATGTGGAAGACCAGGAAGTTCTGAAACTTCACCTTTGGGTGAAGCTGAACCAACAGCTGTTGGAAAGCTGCAACTCTTCAACGAAGAAAACCGTGGCCATTCAGATGCACCCAGAGAGGAGAGACAAAATAACGGTGGCCGGCTTCCTGAATCAGGTGAAAGAGGTCAGCAGCAGTCTGAGGGAATTCATTACGAACTACTCACGAGTTCGAGAAACCATTCGTGTCAAGTCCTGCGCCGTTGTTCAGTTCATTGACAAAAAGAAATCACAGGATTGGTCCGGTATTGCCAAAGATAATGACGTAGAAGTCCTGTTTGATCCAGAGAGGCCAAAGATCACCCTTGCTGGGGCTCGTATTCACGTCCAGAATGCCAAAAGCTGCTTCCAGGAGTTGAGCGGCGCCCTCTCCACTGACAACCTCATAGTGGATAAGCCTGGAGCGAAGAAGTACTTCCAGTCTCAAGGAAGCCTGTTCCTGTCTACGATAATGACAGAATTCAGCTGTGTGGTGTTGCTTTGTCCGGAGAATCAAGAGGAGGACGACGAGAACTCTGAGGAAGTAAAAGATGGCCTTTGTTATTGCAAAATGAAGACCGCAAGTGGAGTTCTGGTCTCGGTCAGCAAGGCCAACATCTGCAGCTTTGGCGTGGACGCGGTGGTCAACGCGGCTAACGAGGATCTGCAGCACATCGGTGGCCTGGCTTTAGCGCTGCTCAATGCCGCGGGACCGGAGCTGCAGAAAATCAGTGACGACCACGTTGCCAGAAGTGGAAAGCTACGAGCGGGCGAAGCCATCGTAACGGGCGCCTGTAAGCTGCCTTGCAAGTACGTCGTACACGCGGTTGGTCCGCGGTTCTCCGACTTTGACAGGAAGACGTCGGTGTTGCGTCTGAAGCTGGCAGTTAAAAACAGTCTGATGCAAGCAGAGGGCGTGAACTGCTCCACCGTCGCGTTGCCAGCGATCAGTTCGGGGGTGTTCGGTTTCCCCGTCGACCTCTGTGCCGACACCATCGCTCAGGCGGTGAGCGAATACTGCGACGCTCCGGGAGCTCCGAGATCGTTGACGGAGATTCACCTGGTGGACAACAACGACAACACGGTGAGAGTTCTGGCCACGGCCGTCAGCAGAGTGTTCGTTGACCTCGGACCTACGATGACGGTGCCACCGCCGGCAGCAGGAAGAGGCGCTGGGGCTTCTGGGTAAATACAAGACACATGAACTTTTACTGTTTATTAGAACGTACTGCAGCTTAGACATTTTAGGAAATGTCTTTGTTGTAAATATAAGATCAGATAAGAACTTCGTTGATGCCACGCTGGGGAAATCGTCTTGGTTCCAAGCTAAGCTAACCGGATGCTAGCTGTAGCCTTATCGATATGTGAGGCTACCTTATCATCTAACTCTCCACCCGAAAGGGAATACATTCCAAAATGTCAAATTGTTCCTTTAAGGCAGGGGTCACCAACCTTTTTGAAACTGAGAGCTACTTCAAGGGTACTGAGTAGTACGAAGGGCTACTTTTTTGATAGAAACTTCCTGAATAACAAAGTTGCACAGATCACCTTTTAATAATAATAATATATATGAAGAGACTGTCTGATCACATGTCAATTATTCCTCACAATAATTAATAACAATGATTGTGTATTTTGTTCAAAATCACACATTTTTGTACAAATTATCACTTCTAAAAAATTTTAGAAAATCATTAACTGTCATATCTTCAAATCATGTCTTGTTACCTTTGTAACATTTTTTAACAAATCATGAACTCTGTCCCATGTTTACACAAATGATCAGTTATGTAAGATAAAAAAATCACATTTTTAAATGAATCCTATTACATTAGTAGGCTACTAATCACCAACTTTTGGGAAGTCTGGGTCACCGTTGCAGTGCACAATAAAGCCTGCATGCTGACCCGTCATGGTGGGAGCCCCGTCTGTTGTCACAGACACCAGCTTTTCTAATAGAACCTTTTTCTCCATGAAGAAACTAGTAAAACGTGTCATCTATAGCCGAGGTGCGTGAGCGTTTTTGGGCACCCGCGTTCAAACCTCTAGTCTGCAGCGGGGGTGGCTGGGGCCGCGCGTCCGGTTCCAACTGGAAGCGTCCGCAATTCGGATTTTTGATTCAATAAGAACATTAAGTTAAATTTTTAGACGGAGCTCCATGGTGACTAGTGCTATTTTTAGAACATGCCTTGCGGGCGACTCACGTGGTCCATGCGGGCGACTCACGTGGTCCATGCGGGCGACTCACGTGGTCCATGCGGGCGACTCACGTGGTCCATGCGGGCGACTCACGTGGTCCATGTGGGCGACCAGGTGCCCGCGGGCCCCGTGTTGGCTACCTCTGCTTTAAGGGAACATGAGGCCATGCTGCTAAACCCACAATGTCTTCTTTTCTACATTTCTGTTTCTACATCAAATAAAAACATGCAGATCACTTGGAAGGTGGATCTTGGTGTGTCTGAACTTTATTGCTCTCTTCGCAGTGGATATCAGCCGGTTCGAGGTCAGAGCCAGTCGCCCAGGGTCCATCCGTTCGGTGAAAGAGGACGAGGACGAGGAGGAGGACGAGGAGAAGGAGGAGCTGGATTCCAGGAAGGTCTGCAAGGTAACTGGGGAGGTCAGAACCTCAGAGGCCACGCCAGCCCTGGAGGGCACGGAGGGTGAGGTTCTTCATCTGCTTCTCATCTTTATTTCTTCTTCTTAGTTTTGTTTTTGCTCTGCGGTAAAGTTTTCAGGACCAGATTATTGGAGTCTTGAGATATTTAGAATACCAGGTCCACCATTGGGTCCGAAACGGAGACTGTTTGTAAGAAGTGGATGTAGTCGTTGTGACATCCCCCGTTGGTTTGTGGACTGATGTTTTGAAGCCTTAAGGTTTTTGGCCACCATCTTGTTTTTTTGTCCCGTCGCTAGGAGTCGCCCCCTGGTGGTCACTAGAGAGAATGCAGCTTTAACACATGCCCCTAAACTCTGAAACAGCTTACATTTTTATATAAAACCTGCTCAGACTACAGGAAGCTTTGAGTTGCTGCTGAGATACATTTAGTTTTCTTCTATTTTTATTGCCGTGTGCTTTGTATTAATTTGTATTCTGTGTCTGTCTAGCAGTTTGGTCCACTGTAGTTGTTTTTAATTGTGCTATACAAATAAAGTTTGACTTGACTCACTGTGATGACATCAGTCCTGCTCTTTGATTGGCTGTAGGTCGGTGGGGGCGAAGCAGACCACCGCTGAGGGTCTGAAGATTGTTCTGCGGAGGGGCAACATTCAGGACCAGACTGTGAGTACTGAGAGTGATATGATCCTCATCTGTTTATGAAAGGCTGAACAACAACAAATATGGATTAAATCAGAATATTATGTGAGATTACAACATATATAGATATGATTGTATTATTACTTAAATTAAATATTATTGTATTTTACTTAAATAACCTTAGACT